ACATGCCCGGACGACACATACAGCAGCAGTCGTAGCATGTGCAAACTTGCAGGTACATACAGGCCGTACAATACGACAGCGTAATAGGTGCGGAGAAACAGTCGTGCACGTACCAGCCCACCAGGTTGGACAGCTCGTACCGTATCCATCACATACATACCTGCCATACGAGTGTCAGAGGCAGTTGTTCCGGCCGTGGGCCCGTCAGGACCTATAACAGATGTAGGAGCACAGAAATAGCAATGTTGGAAGGATGTGCGTGAAGCAGGTGGAAATAATTCCGTCAGCTGGAAAGGAACGCATGTAGGCTTGCAGCCCCCTTAGCTGCAATCGACACAGCATAATACAGTTTTGCATCCGTCTGTGAACCCCGTTGATTTACCCCATGAAAAGTCGCACCTGTATCAAGCGGTGATCCATAAGCGCCACCACCCTGAATGATCTCACCAGCAACGTTTCCTTGCAACGTCTCCTGCAGCTGTCGTACACCAGCAGCGCCGGTACGGTCGTGCAGGAACGTACTCCGCAGTACACCAGCGACTTCTGGATCCGTAGGACCGATTGCGGAGTGCAGCAGTGCCTCTGGTACTCGCGCAACACATCCCATACGCTCATACTCCTGTAGAGCTTCTTCGTCCACCGCACCTTCATCCTCGTCATTATGCTGAAGGAAACGCACCCAGGCGACGATGACGTTGCCTCGAACTTTCAGGCCTGGTGCACGGCGGACGCGATCCAGCAAGTCCTGTCGGTCTCGGACTTGATCCACGCACACCACCGTGAAGGCGCCTGCCAAATCCGCAACACGTGCGGGCAGCTGGCCTCGTAGCATATTGGGGTCGGGGTTTACGACTGCAATGCCATGTGACTGAACAGCACACGGCAACACCTCGGGGGGGCGGCCCGCGAGATGCACAATCATTAGCTGCTGCATGAGACGGCCCCGGCCCAACAGCTGACTCTCCACAAACGTGGGTGCAGGCAACGGGTCGCCCAGGTGA